ACAAAAAATTAACATTACACCAGCTAAACAAGAAAGCTTATTTGAGAAGTACAAATAGCAGATTCTGATAATTGAAATTAACGCTGGTCCCCGCTAAAAAATTAACACAAAGCATAAATCCTTCAGAATAAGTAGTCATAGAACTACCATGTTCAACGTATTCGCGTTTCAGGTAAGACAGTAAATAAACAGTTTGCTCAAATATATAGTTGGAAGCAACAAAGAAGTTAAAAGATTTCACGGGCAGATTCAGAAGGTAAAATTTTCAGAAAAAACCGTTTAGGTTACCCATTTACTCAAATTATTAACCTCAGCACTGAATCAACAAAATCTTAGAAACTAAGCAGAAAACGACCAGCAACATGCTTAACTCTATAACATGTACAAGGAAAGAATAGGGTAAAAATACAAGTTTTCCCTGTTTTAAAGAAAACAGCAGACAGTCCTTGCATAGCTCGTATAGGAACTTGACCCAGGTCATTCTTGGCGCTTCCCGTGGCCTTCGGTCAGTCGGCAAAGTAGTAGCTGTTTCGCCTTCCTTTCTAGAATCATTCATAAAACGTTGCCAAACCATCGCAGCCGAAACTTCACAGTCTGGAGAGGCGGCTGCTACATTCCGCAGGTCGTTGAATTCCGGAATCTGCCAAAGCGGATTCATCCCAGTCCCAGGAAGCACATTTCTACCGCTCTTAATATGGATCTCACTTTTTAGTCATGGCGCATGATTAATTATCACAGGTGAAATTGGAAACAAAAATTGATCTTAACACAAACAGCTTCATCTTCAGACTCAACTCTACGCCAGTCTAATCGGTTAGGGAAAGACCGCGCAAAATCTGCTGGCTATTTTGATTCACCGTTCGATTTCATTCCATTTTTATTTATCAGAAACCATGACCCTGACGTACTTGTGAACTTCTGTAACTGTTCCACAGCCCCTCCGATCATTTGTAGAGCACAGAAGGCAGGGGATACGAGACAGCACTAGGACTTTGATTTTAAACACGCGTACACACAGGCCTGCTATGGCGCACTCGACAATAAACCGTTCCAG